TTTCTTAATTTATCTCATATCTCCTAGGCTAGTTATAAACTAAGTTAAAAAAAATGCTGAGGGAGACCAAATTGAGAAAATGGAATTTCCCCTGCTATTTTCTGATAGCTTTTGAGAGGGTTCATGCCTTTCCCAAATACGAAATGAATACCAACTTCGGCAGGTAAAATACGAACCCTGATCGCATATCCCATTTTGCACGGCATTAGGCCAACGACACCCCCAAAATAAATTGCCCTGTCGTATATGGTTTGAACATCAAAGAATATTTTACAAGGTATATTTGGGAAGCTCACAAGAAATCTCGATTTGACAATGAAAACGATGGCGGCTGGTTTTATACTGCCAAGGGGAGATTACTCTGAAGAAAGGAACCCATAAAATCGGTATCTTAAATATGAAATAAGGGAAAAACTAAAATTGTTTTTATTATCTTTTGTTTTTGTGTCCAGAGAGACGCACACGAAATCACACATGTGAGAAACACACAGAATCACTGAGTCTTATTGTGCATGCGTATGTCCATATATTTACTTATATGCGCAAGTGTACGTGTGTAGGTACGTGTACGTGTGTGTATATAAAGAGAGAGAAAGGTAGAAATGTGGGTATATTTTATGCCACGCGAAAAGGATTTGGAGGCTTGTGCGTTAATCTTAACAAAATATATAAATATTTGTGTGTGCTCATTTGAAATGAATAACTATAAACATATATATATATATATATATATATATATATATATATTGTGTATTTAGGCAGCATATTTTCATTTATACACGTTTTTTAAATAATATAGACAAGTGTTGTCTATTTATTTTATGTAAAAATTTTTCTTATCTTCTGATAAGTTTATGTAAATATTATCATTTACCGAAAAATTCATCAATATTTATCCATTATTTTTTGATATAAAATCTTTGAAATGCTTTCGGTTTACTCAAGCCATTTTATCAAAAATAATGGATAAACATATCAAACAATATGGTAAATGATAATGTTATAAACTTATCAGAAGATATGAAAATTTTACATAAAATTTAATAGACAACACTTGTTCATATTATTTAATGAAACGTATATATATATATATATATATATATATATATATATATATATATATATATATATATATATATAAATATTCCGGTTATTTATTACACAATGAATTTATTTATTTTCGTCTAACGGCTCGGCCTCAATATTCGAGAAATTATATTAAAAACCAATATGAGCTCTGTGACAGGATTCGAACCTGTACCCCTCCCTTGTGTAGAGGAAACCGTCGTTAGATCGTTCTTTAGACTTTTACCGATAAAAATACGTGGGATCTAACTGTCCAGAGAGATGCGCCAGTTCGAATCCTGTCGTAGAGTACATATTTTGTCGTCTTCTTGTTTTCTTTCTGTCGAGCAAGCTTCTTCCCGGCGGCAAACCTTCGTTTCTCTTCTCCTCGCTCTAGCCTTCGGTGTAAATCGCGGAAGCGATCCTTGGCGACGTCTTTCCACATTTCGATGTCGATGTCCATCACGCTCATGTCCCCTTTTGCAGACGTACTTGAAGCGAAGATGATGTCACCCTCTTCCCTTTTGCCGGTAGCCATTCGACATGTCCAAACCAGCGGCGCTGTTGGAACTGGGCACAGGGAAGAACTACGCCATTGGTTAAACGATCGGACCAATTGATACCCAGAATTATATATATATATATATATATATATATATATATATATATATATATATAAGCACTGGACGGCCGTTTCGTCCTTTTTTGGACTCATCAGCAGAGAATCGAACTCGGACCGTTACGATATGACGCAGGCATCATACCCACTAGACCAACGGAGAGGTAACAAACCAGACTCGATATAGCATCAGCTCTTCACAAATTCCGTTGTGTGACTCATCCGCGTCTACTTACACCAATGGTCTGTGCCCACA